AAAAATCGTGAAGTCAATCGTCTTCATGTTTGGTTCCATTTATCATCATCATTATCATTATTATTATTCATTGAAAAAAATTTTTTTTTTTTTTTTTTTTTTTTTTTTTTTTTTTTTTTTTTTTTCACTACTGATTCACCATAAGGTCCGCTACTGTTCTACCGACTATGTTATGTTGTTAATTAAATCGTGACAACATGATTATGACTTTTTCGGTTATGCCGATGGATGCATCACGAGAGGCTTTATGAGTTCCTAAATAAATTACACAAGTGACCGCAAAATTATTTTCTTTGGTCGATAATAACTTTTTTTTCTCGCGAGCCAGTACAAATGTCACGTGATCGATCTCCACGGAATTGGGAGTACAATAAAAGCCTAGATGCCCGCTTAATAGGCAGTGCACCGTGAACATCCGTAAGAAGCAAGTGGCTTTTTATAAAATACAGTGGTTCCTGTTATTTTATGGTTGAAACAATTTTATTGTTCACATAAATAATTGTAATGTTAAATAGTGTCACAAGCCCACAAAATTAATTGAGGAATTTAAATATATTGTCCTTCATCACTTGACTGTGGTTTTTATTTATTGGAAATTGAATAGCAGAAACCTTTTTTTTTTTTAATATACTTTATTAATCAATCAAATTCATTCTAAAAAGGTATGTCGCCAAATTTTTTCAAGAAAAAAAAAATGTAATATCACGTGAGCCTGTCAGTAAAGTCAATTCAGTAAGTATGAGTCATGCATAATCTTGGATTCTTCTTCGCTTCTTTTCCCTAAAGTCATCCACCTCAACCTTCTCTTCTTTACGCATGCCATTGTTCTCACCATCACTTTCCTCGTCGTCCCTTCTCCCCCGAAATCCTTGCCGCCCCATTATTTTTTCCTCGCGTCCTTGTCTTTCCCATTCCCTTTGCTGTTCCAACATTTGTCTTTCTCGTTCTTGCCGCCTTGCCTTTCTCTTGGACTTCATTTTGCACGAACGACAACGACACCCCCCCTCACTTCCTTCAGTCTCCGATTCCGTTTCGCTCACTTCTGTGTCTCCATCGTCCGTAGAACTACTTTCGCTGGAACTACTCGTGCTGCTGCTACTACTACTGGAGCTACTTTCCTGAAACGCGGGAACTGTTTCCAACCTTTTAATTTTGTCTACCAGGTTTCTATAAAAATCCGGACTATGCCTATTTCTCCCTTCGCTAGCATTTGCCAATTTTGAGAGCTTCCGAAGAAGCTTTTGCGCAAGTTTGGGACGTGCGTTCCTGGTACGTAACCAAACGTACTCAATGGATGTTGGAGAACAGAAATTCTGTGTGACAGCTATAGTAAAGTCTATTTATGAATTTTTTAAAAGTTGAATGCATCAAATGAAGTTAAAGTAATACATTTCAATGGGTGTTCGTTTTTGTTTTTTTATTTTTTTTTTTTCGTTTTCATTTCATTTCATTTCATTTTTTTTTTTTTTTTGTTCATTTTTTTATTTTTTATTATTATTATTTTTTTTTTTTCGCAAGATTTTGCGATATTTTGATGTTTTGAAAGCCGAATGATGTGATAAGCAAACAAAATACGAAAAAACGAAGATCAAAATATAAAAAAACTTTACCCAGATTCATGACAACGTGGTGCCACCCGCCGGGCACGAAAATGGTCTCCCCTGGTTTCTGCAGTACTTCCAGCATGCCATATTCTTCTGCCAAGCTTTTTCCTCCATCAACGCTATTGACCAGTCTAGGAAAAACGTGTGTAAACCATGTCACGGCCTCGTGATCTTTATGCCTCATCGGTGGATCAATCAGTTTACGAGGAGCGGTCGGCGGGAACATACACCAACGCTTGTGGCCAACCAACAGAGTATTCCACGCAGAAGTACCAAGCGGGTCAACATGTATCCTACCGAACGAGATAACCATTTAGTACAAAATAACCGATTCAATTTATTTACGCGAATCCCGTATTTACCCAGTTCCGCTTCTCTCTCCGCCAATCAGGAACCAACGATATGGAGGTCTACGTCTGTCACCGGTAAGATGAAAAAGGTCATCGACAAAGTAAGGAGGAATCTTGTAATCTTTCAACAAACATTCCCTCTTCTTTGAATTCGTTTTTCGACTTTCGGCGCCGGTTTTCGATTTTTTTCGTCTTCCAAAAGATGAATCGAAAATATATAATGGACTATCTTCTTTCTGCCCTTCGGTATCTAAATAATGCATGAAATATTTTAAAGTCATGCGAACAGGATTTCCTTTATCATCTTCGCCGATTTTAAATTTGTAACTTTTATAATTTTTAATGAGGTCCTGTTTGAAATAGATCCTCATTCATGAATATCATGAAATCTTCTTATGTAATTTTCGAAAGTATTCACGGAAACGGTGATCACAACAAACCTCTTTATTCCATTTCGTTTCAGCAGCCCACCCTCTTGTGCAACCGGTAATGACCACGGGAACGCCCGGTGCCTCGTATTTCTCGATGAACTCCTCCCGAGAAACCTGAGACACGCTAATTCTGGGAACTTTATCGACCGACTGATCTATCCAGTAGTTGTTGTTAATGAACCCTCGAATCGACCATTCGAATATGTCAAGTTCTATTTTTACGAAGGATGATTGGTGAATTAACAAACAAATTAGTTCGTGTAATTAGAACCGCAATATTTAGTAAACATTCCCCCCTCACAAAGAAAAAATTTGTTAACACTATGTAGAAAATCCCTCTCCCCTCCCTTCCCTTCACTGATTATAATATAGTGTGAATCTGTGGGTCCGTTAATTAATTTCTGATTTTTTGTAGATAACTTCCAAAGAAATTTGCCATCTAACATTCTTTTTGGGATAACACACCGACGTTTAGTTTGACGCGATAAAAAGAAAATACGAAGACAAACCTGAACGTGCACTTAATTTTGTCCTGTTTATTTTGCGTTCATACTTGTGCTGCTTGAGCCTAAGAATATTGACCGTTTTCACTTCGTTTTTGTCATGAGGCTTATTATTGACATCCTCATCTCGGCGATCTACTAATCCAGTGATATAGCGACTAGATGGTGGCATTCTTTTTTTTTTTTTTTCTTTAAAAAAAAAAATAAATTCAGGAGACGGACGGTTCTATAAACAAGTTCGGATTTCTTTCTGATAAAAAAAAAAAAGGTGATTAATATAATTTTTGTTGCACAACTGCATTATTGGTCAGCAAGATGGTCACTGTATTCGCGTAAATTTTCAACATTTTTATAATTATATTGTTTTTAAAAAAACTTTAAAAAAATTTTTAAAATGGAGTTTAAAAAAAAAATATACTGTATATTTGAAGGATCGAATACAAAACTCATACCATTCTTTAATAATATGTGTCATATAATATTTACCTAACAAAATTCGGGGTAAAAATTTTACAAGTAAATGTTACAGCGTATTTTACTTTAAGATACAGTATATTGTATTTATTAAAAAAATATAAAAATCTAATATATTAATTTTACAAAAATTTTTTTTTACAAGATATGGAGTTAATTAATTAATTAATTGAATACATAAGTATATTGCAATTAAGCTTTCATATAAAGTATTCTATTGATTAACAAGTTGATCATTATTTTTTATTGTTCCTAAGATTTTCTTATCTCTGTTTGAGAGTTTTCTTGATTGTTTCCCTAGTTTCTTTGACTTTTTTTATTATAACTCTCTATTTTAAGACAATCTATTATTTTTTTCATTTTTTGTTTATAAAAAAAAAGTGTTTTTTTTTCAAAGCTGGTCCGATCTTGTTTATTAGCTTGATAAAATAATATACAATAGGAATTACAAGAATATCATATATGTTACTAAACTTCTTAGAACTAATTAGATGTTCTAAAGAATCTATCAGATAGTTTGTTGCCACTTCATATTAAGAGAGGACTAACCTGCCAAGACAAAACTAATATTAGGTTCAAAAGAGAAAATAAATACAATATTGGTGTTTTTAAAAATAAATTGTTTTATATATTGATTAAATAAATCTATATAGCTATCCTTGATAAACTATTTATTTATCCATTTGACAAAACTTGAAAATATTTTTTCATATTTATAATATTTTTCTTTTTTTCTAGAAATGTCATATTCCTCTTTTTACCTTTAAAATATTTTATTTCTGGTCTTTCAAATTGAGTAAAGAAATTTTTTCTATTTTTATTGATATTTTAATTATACAATCTTTTACCTTGGCAATATTGTAAATTGTATAGTAAATTATTTTGATAGTAGATTTGAAAAAAGTATCTTTGATAAATAACTTGAGCTATTGCTAATAATGGGTTCTTAAAGTATTAAGTATATAAAATTTCATAGATTACTTATGTCTTTTTTTAAGGGACAAAATTCATAACTTTTCACTTCAATAGAAACAAAGTCAGGAAATACTATAAATCAATGATTTGAATAATGGAGAACAATTGTGGTTAGTCTTTTTATAGTTATTAATTTAAAAATTTTAATGTTTCTTAACGAAGGACATTTGACTTTTGTCTCTGCCTCCCCCTTTAGAGATTTATCTTTAGCTGTTACATACTGTCTAGAGTTATATTACTGTTTATTTTTGTTAGTGCTCTAATTTTCCTTTCTTTGGATATATACTTGAGTATCATTTTTTGAATAGTTGTTATAGCTTAATGTTTGATATCTATTTTGTTATATTAGTATAAGAAAGGATAATAGTTGTTTTCCACTTGATTAATTTGCAATATTTATTGTTTTTATATAATGGGATTTCTTGCTGTTTAATTTAGATTTAGTGGGAAGTTCATTGTTTCAGAGATTTAGTAAGAACTTTCAGATTTGTTAATCTTTAAATAAAATATTCAAATTGCTGATTTGGGATAAGTATAAGTGATTATATATTTTTTATCAATAAGTGTGTTTATATTGTTCAATAAAATCTATAAATACTCTGTTAAGTAAGTACCATTGTGAAATACATTTGCTTGAATAATCTTTTTGCAAATATTCTTTACTGATGTATCAATCTAAGTGTTATTCTATAGTATTGTTATATATGTTTATGAGCTTTAAGTCGATTGAATATTAAGAATGTTAATGTTTGGTTATATTTCTTGTGGCTTGATCCTATTGAGACTAGTTAATTTGTCTATTTATTGTATTTGATATCTGAATAGACTTGAACTTTATGCAACTATAATTTGAAATATTTTGTAGTACAAATATTCTTGATGGTTTGAAATATATGAAAGTTTTTTTGTTTTCTGATATAACATAATACTAGGTTTTTAGAATCTATTGGATACAATTAATTACTGTTTAACTGTCTATAAAGATATTAACTGTTAAATTTTCTGATAAAATTAATATTGCAATTGTTATAGTCATTATCTCTATCCTTAAGAAAGAAGAGTATATATGGGTTTAAGCTTTGAATGTAAATTCTATATTATTTGAAGTAATAATAATTCAACTTAGTTCTATAAATTATTTATTATTTTATTTGCTCAGGAAACTATCTATATAAATTTTAAAGTATATAAAAGATTATTTCTTTAGATATAGTCATGAGATCAATAATTTTATCTGGTTACTAATAAGGCGTATTATTATTTATGAGAATATTGTATTATAAAAAATATATGCTATTAAAGGCTATTAGTGTTCCTATTGAGATGTGTATATTTGATTCAATGTGATATGAATAGATTCTGGTAGTACTCTAAATCTATATTAAAAGTTTTCATTTGAAGTGAAATGTTAAAAGGTAAATATATAGCTTGCCACAACTGAAATTTTAATGACTTTCTATACTATTGTATTGAATAAGCAATTCTAATCTCTACTTTCTTCATTTAAAGAACATCTGTTATATTTGGTGAGTAGTGATTCATTGTTTATTGTATTGCAGTATGTGTAGATAATATTGTCATTTGGATTATATCTTCTTTTCTTATCAATAGCAAGTATATTATTTATATATATTGCTACACAGTGTGATTAGTAAGTGCAATGCTCTATTAAATCAATACTTTGAAAAAAGAGATTTGTATTATTGATTTATAGATACAATGCTTTGATTATAGAATTATTTATTTTCTATTCAAGGTTAGTAAACCATTTTGAAATATATTTTGAAAGTTGCTTGTCTCTATATTTGATAACTTGTAGCCAGTGAAGAGTATAAGTTTTATTAACATTTAGTATTTGTCCTGTAAATAAGAGATTGTGTTTGACAAGTTGTTTTCTGTATATGTGATAAAATTGTGATATTATGATATTTTCTATTGTTATATCTATTTTGTGTATTATAATAATGATAGACTTGCGCTTATTTAATAAAAAGTTGAATCCATGTTTTTTGAGTAATATAATAATATCATATATATAATTTTTCTCCACTAATATAATAGATATAGTGTAATGAGCAAGAATATTGTTTGTTGACCAAAAGTAATTCAGTATCTGTTACAAATAATGTTTGGCTAGATCTTCTATAATATTATTTTGATTGATTTTTTGTATCCAATTAAATATATACATTTGGAACTGTCTATTTTATAGATAAAAGATATTATATTTCAATAAGTTATAGATAATATTATTAGATATTGTATTTACTAATTCAATTTTATACTTGAACATACTTGTCAATTCGTTGGATAGTCTATTGCAAGTACTTTCAAGAAGAATCAAATCATTTAGCAGGTATTTGATATTAAGATATAATACATGATTGATGATGTATTATATCTGTTTGTCAGTAATAACTTTGCTTTCTATAAAAAAGTATGTTTATAAAATTTTTTGTCTAATGAGTTGTTTTTAATACTTCTTGAAAACTGTTGCATCATACCAAACCCCTAGTATTTTAACAGGGGTTTCATTATCACAACCCATAATGTATTAATTATTAAAATATATATTTGTTATTCTATCTATATAGTTACTGTTAATAATTATAAGGAAGAACTTTTGAGAGCTAATATGTATATTATTGATGTGATAGAATTGTTCTATAATGTTTATTATATACTAAAGATCTGTATTGTATTCTGTAAGCCAAATAATATTATTCATATATGTATTTGTAGGGATTGAGATCATTTTTCAGATGATTGATTAATCTATATACCTAATGTAATAAGATGAGACCAAGTAATCTTTGTATGTTACTTGAATTGTAGAATGTAGGGAGTCATAGAAAATTATCTACAGTAAAGGAGAAATAATATCACTTTGATATATTC